TCGGCCCCTGGGTCGTTATTTCGTTTCCCCGGACCCTGGTTCATTGTCTCGTTTTCTCGTTTTCTCGGCTTCTGTTTCTTACTTAACAGCGAAGACTGATAGGTTTCTAGTGGTCCCAAAAGAGAGCATCATGACTCCCCAGGGGGGTCTGGACAGATGCCGGACGGGTGCCGCGGGTCCCAGAACATTATTTCCAGGTCACATTTTGCATGCTTGGAGCCAACTGTAGGCCGCTTCGTGTTCTTTGTGTTCCCAGAACACCATTCCTGTACCATATTTTGAATGCCCGGAGCCAACTGTAGGCCACTTCGTGTTCTTCGTGCTCCCAGAACATTATTCCTGTACTATATTTTGATTGCCCGGAGCCAACTGTGGGCCACTTCGTGATCTTCGTGCCCCCAGAACACGAGTCCTGTGCCATATTTTGAATGCCCGAGCTGAGGCAGGCTGAGGTTGAGGCAGGCTGAGGCCGAGGCAGGCAGAGGCGAGGCAAGCCGAGGCAGGCTGAGGCTGAGGCCGAGGCAGGCTGAGGCTGAGGCTGACGCACGCTGAGGCTGAGGCCGAGGCTGGGGCTGAGGCCGAGGCAGGCTGAGGCTGAGGCTGACGCAGGCTGAGGCTGAGCCTGAGGCAGGTTGAGGCTGAGGCTGAGGCTAATGCAGGCTGAGGCTGAGAGACTGACGCTGAGGCTGAGGCAGGCCGAGGCTGAGACTGAGGCCGAGGCAGGCTGAGGCTGAGGCTGAGGCAAGCCGAGGCAGGCTGAGGCTGAGGCTGAAGCTGAGGCAGGCTGAGGCAGGCTGAGGCTGAGGCTGAGGCTGAGGCAAGCTGAGGCTGAGGCTGAGGCTGATGAGGCTGAGGCTGAGGCTGAGGCTGAGGCTGAGGAGGCTGAGGCAGGCTGAGGCTGAGGCAGGCTGAGGCTGAGGCTGAGGCTGAGGCTGAGGCTGAAGCTGAGGCTGAGGCTGAGGCTGAGGCAGGCTGAGGCTGAGGCTGAGGCAGGCTGAGGCTGAGGCAGGCTGAGGCTGAGGCCGAGGCAGGCTCAGGCCGAGACAGGCTGAGGCTGAGGCTGAGGCTGAGGCTGAGGATAAGGCCGAGGCAGGCCGAAGCTGAGACAAGGTGAAGCTGAATCGGGGGGGGGAAGGGGGGGGGAGGAGGGGAGGCTGAGGCAGGCTGAGGCCGAAGCGGGCTGAGGCCGATGCAGGCTGAGGCTGAGGCTGAGGCACGCCGAGGCAGGCTGAGGCTGAGGCTGAGGCTGAGGCTGAGGCTGAGGCTGGCTGAGGCTGAGGCGGGCTGAGGCTGAGGCTGACGCAGGCTGAGGCCGAGGCAGGCTGAGGCTGAGGCTGAGGCTGAGGCAGGCTGAGGCTGAGGCCGAGGCAGGCTGAGGCTGAGGCTGAGGCAAGCCGAGGCAGGCTGAGGCTGAGGCTGAAACTGAGGCAGGCTGAGGCATCCGTAGGAATCCATAGGAATCCTTAGGAATCAATAGGAATCCTTAGGAATCTGTAGGCATTCTTAGGAATCCGTAGGCATAGTTAAGCATCTTCAGGAATCTTCAGGAATCCTTAGGAATCCTTAGGAACCCCTAGGAATCCCTAGGAATCTGGATTCCTAAGGATTCCTAAGGCTTCCTAAGGATTCCCATGGATTCCTAAGGATGCCTGAGGATACCTCAGGAATCCCTAGGAATCCTCAGGATTCCATTGGATCGTAAGGCCGGTGCCACTGCGACTGTCATTGCGAATGCGACTGCGACTGCGAGAACAGCAGACTTCTACAACTGGATTCTCACCTTAATCTTAAGAGGAACGCTTCGAGATAAGCTTATACACATCGCTGTTAGGTTGCTTTGCCGGGATAATGGTTTCCCTCCCCGTTTTCTTGGACCATGGTTTGTGTTTACGTTTTCTCGTGTTCTCTGCCCCTGGATCGTGGTCTCGTTTTCTCGGGGCCTGGTTCGTTTTCTCGTTTTTTGTTTTCTCGGCCCCTAGGTCGTGGTTTCGTTTTCTCAGGGCCTGGTTCGTTGTTTTCGTTGTCACGGGCCCCTGGTTCGTTTTCGCGTTTTCTCTGCCCCTGGGTCGTGTTCTCGTTATCTCCGACCCTGGTTTGTTGTTTGGGACCCTGGTTCGTTTTCTCGTTTTCTCGGCCCCTGGGACGTGGTCTCGTTTTCTCGGACCTTGCTTCGTGTCCTCGTTTTCTCTGCCCCTGGGTCGCGGTCTCGTTTTCTCTGACCCTGGGTCGTGGTATCATTTTTCCGCGGGCCCTTGTTAGTTTTATCGTGTTCTCGTTTTCTTGTGTTCTGGGCCCCTGGGTCGTGGTCTCGTTTTCTCTGACCCTGGTTCATTGTCTCGTTTTCTCGGCTTCTGGGTTTTAATTTCGTTTTCTCGGACCCTGGTTCGTTTTCTCGTTTCTCGTGTTCTCTGCCCCTGGGTCGTGGTCCCGTTTTCTCGGGGCCTGGTTCGTTTTCTCGTTTTTTGTTTTCTCGGCCCCCGGGTCGTGGTTCCGTTTTCTCTGGGCACTGGTTTGTTTTCTCGTTGTCACGGGACCCTGGTTCGTTTTCGCGTTTTCTCTGCCCCTGGGTCGTGTTCTCGTTTTCTCGGCCCCTGGGCCGTGGTCTCGTTTTCTCAGACCCTGCTTCGTTTCCTCGTTTTCTCTGCCCCTGGGTCGCGGTCTCGTTTTCTCTGACCCTGGGTAGTCGTCGTCGTCGGTCGTCGGTCGCGCGTCGTCCGTCGTCCGTCGCCGTCTTCGCATGACCTCGTCCTCGTCGTCACGACCACGACGAGGTCATACGAAGACGGCAACATTGACGGCGACGGCGGCGACAACGACGACGAGGACGACAACGGCGTCGTGCGAAGACGTCGAGCGACGGCGACCGCAACGACGACGGCGACGGGGGAGGATCGTCCGGCAGGGGGAGTTCAAGGGAGGGGGTTGGTAGCTAAGTCGCCCTTTCCTTTTTGGAAAGGGGGGAGGGGAGGGGAAGAAAAATAGAGGGAAGGGAGGGGGGGCTTCCCGCAGAGGGGGTCCAAGGAGGGGGGGTAGCTAAGCCCCCCTTCCCTTTCGTCAGGGGGAGGGGGGGGTAGCTTCCGGGGTGACAGGGGTGAGGGGGGGGTGCTGCTAAGCCCCCCCCCCCCCCCTGTGGAACCAAAGGGAAAAGGGGCAAGGGGGGGGGGGGGTAGCTTCCGACAGAGGGGGTCAAGGGGAGGGGGGGTAGCGAAGCCCCCCTCCCGTTCGTAAGGGGGGAGGGGGCGGGGGTAGCTTCTCGGGTGCCGAAAGGGGGGGAGGGGGGGGGGGGCTGCTAAGCCCCCCCTTTGGAACCAAAGGGGGGAAGGGGGGGGTAGCTTCTGGCAGAGGGGGGTCAGGGAGGGGGGGGTAGTCCCCTTTGGAAAGGGGGAGGGGGTGGGGTAGCTTCGGAGTAGCGAAAGGGGGGGAGGGGGGGGGGAGCTTCAGGGGGGAGGCGGAAAAAGGGGGGGGGGGGGCTTCCAGCAGGGGAGTTGGAAGGGAGGGGCGGGGTAGCTGAGGGCCCCCCCACCCCCCTTTGCTCCGGCGCTGTGGGCGCGCTCTCTCGGTCCTCCGTCCTTTGTCTATGCAGGGACATTCGCACGCGGGTGCTCGCCTCCAGACTCAGCACCTTCACGCCTCCAGTGGACAGTACTCCTCCCCAGGCGGAGGCGTCTGACTTCTGCCACAGTGGCCATTCCTCCGCTGAAATGTGCCTCTCATGTACCTCATCTCTCCCGCGCTTCTTGGTGATGTAGACTTAAGTCGGGCCTGTCCCCCCACAGGGGGATTTTCGACGAAAGATGAACGATACCCCCAAAATAGTCCAAACATAATCCAAAAATGGACTGGGGACTATTCTTGGTGTATGTTTTGACCTTTTTGGTGTATGTTTGGTGTTTTTTTCATTTTTCGTCGAAAATCCCCCTGTAGGGGGACACGCCCGGCATAAATGTAGACCTCGTCAATTTCGAAGCACTGGGAAGCTGCCTTCCGGAAAGACACGTCCTCCTCGACTTCAGACAGCGAGGCCTCGTTCCCAGCCTTCGAAGAAGCGCGGCCACCGAAGGCCATCTTCAGGTTCTGCTCCACTGCTCTCTCCCCTGCCGTCTCGATCCTCCTGCGCACAGGATTGGACATCGAACCGCAAGTGGAATTTTGTAGAGCTTGATTCAAGCATGGTACGATTCTCTGGGAGCTGGAGCGAGGCGCAGTCGGATTCTCGCAGAACGTGACCGAACCCTACTACAGTTGTATTGGAAATTGCTTGAGCCTCTTGTAGGTTTTCAATCATGTTGGACCCAGTTGAGCTGTATCCAGCCTTGGTGTGATTATTCCAGCTGGATTCGTCGTCGTCGTCGTCGTCGTCGGTTGTCATTGTCGTCATAGTCTTCATTGTCGTCGTCGTTATCGTCGTCGCTGGCGGCGGCGGCGGTGGCGACTCGCGCGCGGGGCAGGGGGCTTGGACCCCTCCGGGTAATCTCCCGGGGGGTGGAGGGGGGTCTGGACCTTTCGGAGTTTTTGTTCGGGGAGGGGTCCTGGGGGGGCCCGACCTGCTTGTTCTTAGCGGGGATGGGGGGATGGGGTGGGGGGAGGTTCGGGGGGTGGGAGGGGGCCCCCCTCCCAGGATTTTCATCAGGGTGAGGAGGGGGGGGGGCGCCCCCTGGTTTCTGAGACCCCCTTCTAGATTTGGTTCAGGCCAGCGGTGGTGGATCGCGCTCGCTCGGATCTTCTCATGCCCTCACTCTCAGCCTCCCCCCCCCCGCAGAGGCCCTGCTCGGCTGCCCCCGTCTTCCCTGCTGCCCCCATGCTCGGCCCGAGGCCCCGCGTCCCTGCGCCCGGTGGACAGGGCGTCCTCCCTCCTCCTCCCTCCTCCTCCTCCTCCCTCCTCCTCCTCCTCCTCCCTCCTCCTCCTCCTCCTCCTCCTCCTCCTCCTCCTCCTCCTCCTGCTCCTCCTCATCCTCCTGCGCCCAGTGGACAGGGCAGCCCCTCGCCCCCCCCCGGCAGAGGCCACCGGGGAGCTCGATGCCGAGGCGCCCGAGTTCACCCCCATGGCGGGGCCGCCGCGCAGGGCGCTGGGCGAGGTGCAGTGCGGCGCGCAGGCGGCCCTCGCGGGCGGCCTCTCGCGGCCCTCCTGGGGGCCCTCGGCGGCCATCGGCCGCCACGGACCCAGGCCTCCAACGTGTTGAAAAAATCTAGACGGAGGTTTTTCTCGATCTGCAGCCTCTAGCGGCCCTCGCCGGGCCCTGGGACCGTCAAAAAACGATTCAGGATGAAAAACGGTTCCTGGGGAATGGGTCGAGACTTCCGGGGACCCCGTATTAAAAGAATCACGACATCGGATCTCTGGGGAGCAGGCGGGCCCCGAGGAAAACGGGTCCCGATGTGTCTCTCGGGCCGGACGAGAGGGGGGGGATATGGAAAGAAGGGGGGTACGAAATTTGCTGCGTGCAGCTGGTTTCAGCCCCGCCGCCGGGTCCATTCCTCGATACATAGCCGCCTGCGGCGCCGGGAGGCGCCGGGAAAATCAGCTACGTGAGCTGATTCTCAAAGCCCCCCTTTGCTATCCCCCCCTTTCCTTTCGCCCGACCCGAGTCTCGTGGTTTCGGGCCTCTCGTGGTTCTCCCCGGGCTCAGGGACCCGTTCGGTTCATGGCAACATCGGAGGTGGCGTCCAGGACACGTTTCCCATATGACCCGTTCGGTTCGCTGCAACATCGGAGGTGGCGTTCAAGAGCAAGCAACGGGAGCCCCACATGTCCTCGCAATCCCATCTCTAGAGTGCGCTAGCGTGCGCTAGCATCTGCTGGGAATGCTTCGATTTAGCGTCCATGTCTCATCGATCATCGTCGATGAAGGTCGATTCGTAAGAGCCAGCATGGTGACACGGGAGGTTCCCATTGGAATTTGTTCCTAGTGATTGGGGGGGGGCGGGCCCTCCCGGTGTCCCAGCAACCGTCGCGATCGCACGGGGGCGCCTCCGCCCTTCCCCATCTTCGCAGGCATGCCGTCGTGCTCGCAGCCTGCTGCGGGGGCCGCGCACTCTGCACGCTGTGGCTCTCGCGCACCGTCGTGGTGCTCGCAGGCATCGCGTGGCGCTCGCAGACGCATGGTGAGGATCCAGCGCACATTGCGGCGGCGGTGCCCTCTAGACCATTGTTGGCCATCGTGGCGTTTTGATGCTCAGAGGCAGACTGCTGGTGCTCGCAGGCAATGGCGGCACTGAGTTGCTCCGTATTCGAATCAAGCCATTCGTGGCCTGGGCACCCCCTGCGACAACGGGGGGGGCTGTGGGTGCCGTCTTCTTCGCACGAGGCCTTCGAGCAGCAGGCGGACAATGTCGGCGGCGAGCGAGGGGGGGAAGTGAGAAGGAGAAGACCTTCTCAGAAGGTGGTGGGGCTTCTCAGAAGCCCTCGCGTCTTCTGAGAAGTGGCCTGCGTCTTCGGGGAAGGCTTTAGTAAACGTCTCGGAAGGCCGGGTAACTTCCGAGCCTTTTGAGAAGGCCCGCGCCTTCTCATTCTACCTTCGCTCGCCGCCGAAAATGACCACAGGGACCAGAGGACAAGAACGAGGACGGATGAGGACGACGACGACGACGTCGACCCCCAGAGGCCTCCTGAGGTCCCGACACCGTCGTCGTCGTCGTCGTCGTCCTCGTCCTCGTCCTCGTCGTCCTCGTCGTCGTCGCTCGTCGTCGTCATGGCCGTGGTCGTCGACGGTGAGGCGCATTCAAACTTGCGTTGGCGTCACCGCCACAAACTACGCCGCCCCATCATTACCGTGACCCTCCCCTCGCCCCCTTCCACCCCTGGATAACGGACGCTTCGGGTCGGACGGAAGGGGGGGGATACAAGGGAAACCCATGCCAAGAAACACCTTGCTTGCCGCCAGGGTGCTCTTGGTTTCTTGGGCTTCGATGGCTCTAGAATGGGAAGCGTAACGCTCCCACACCAAAACATGAGTGGAGGTCCTAGGGTCTCAGGGTTGGGTTTCTTGTGGAAGGTTCCTTGTGGTCGAGCGCTTACTGTAGGGTTAAGTCAAGCCTGTCCCTCTACAGGAGGAAGGTTCAATAAACCATAATCAGGGTACGATTTTGGGAGCATTCTTTTTGTCATGTTTAAGTGATGTTTTGCATATTTCTATTTTTCGTCGAAAGTCTGCCTGTAGAGGAGGGCCCGACCTAACTGTAGGGACGAGGGGGGGCACGAAACTTGCGGCATTCGGCTGGTTTCGGTTTCGCTGCTGGGCACCCTTCCTGCATCAGTGGGCGCCCCGGGCGCGCAGGGAGGCGCTGGGCAGCGCAGCTGCGTGAGCCGATTCGCGAACCCTCCCTCTGCTGTTCAGTCGGGCTTGTCACTCTAGAGGAAGAAGGTTCAAAATTGTTCAACAAATCGTAGTCTGGGGACGATTTCTTAATAGTTTTCTGGTACTTTTAGAATATGTTTGGGGTATTTAAAACTTTTCACTCAAAATCCGCCTGCAGGGGGACAGGCCCGACTTAACGTTGCTGCCCCCCCCGCAGTTCGCCCGACCCGAACGTCCTCCCCCAGGGGAACACCACAAAAAGCACGCTCTCGAGGTGTGCGCGCGCAACTCGCAGGCGACCCGCTGGCGGCCTCTGGCGGCCCTCTGGCGGCCGCTGGCGGCGGCGGCCTCAGCGGCGGTTTTTGTGGGGGGCGGACGGGGAAGCGATTCTGAAGGGGCCCTGGGGCACACAAATAGATACACACAAACAAAAGGATCCACATCTTTTCTCATATTGTTTCTGTCTTCCCACCCACTGCCCATATTTTCCCATACTTTCCTGGGAGTCGACGATTAACTGTGTCTGTGTGCTTTTTTCCCTCCCGAGATTCGGCGGCGATTCGAGGGGGGAGGGGGGGAAGTGAGCAGGCGCGGGCCTTCTCAGAAGGCTCGCGGCAGGTCCTGGGCCTTCCGAGAGGCTTACTAAGAGCCTTCCCCGAAGACACCGACCGCTTCTCAGAGGGTGCGAGTTGCGAGGTCCTGCCGCCGTCCGAGAAGGCCTTCCTCCTTCTCACTTCCCCCCCTCGCTCGCCGCCGACCGCCTTCTCCGGCTGCTCGAGGGCCCACGTGTGGAGGAGAGACGGCACCCACGGCCTCCGACCGCTCGCCTTGCCGCGGGGCCGGTCTACGCACCTCGCGGCTGGCCCTCGGGGGCGCCTGGCCCGGGGGCGGCGGAGGAGCGCCTCTGGCCCCAGGGCCGCCACGAGGGCGCGGAAGGTAGGGGCGCGCTTCCGCGCGGCGCGATCGGGGCGCTTTCGGAGCGAGGCGCGCGTCCCTCGTCCTCCTCCAGACCAGGCGGCGCGAAGGCGCGAAGAGGGTCGCGCTTCGCGGAGCGCGAAGCGCGAAGATAGTTGCCCTTGGTGGCCCGACGGTGGCGCCGTAGCCAGGGGCATGCACGGTGCAGGGGCCCTGGGCCAGGGGAACCCCCGACGGCGGAGAAGCCAAGGTTTGGTTCAGAGCTTCGCCCGCTGGGTCGTCGGCGGCCCTCGGCGGCCATCCGCGGCGGCGGCGACGCTGGTGGAGGAAATGCAGCGCTCACCGCCCGCCGAACCACTCCAACCCAACCCGAAGGCCCAGATGTGCCTTCCATTTCCAGTGGGGGGGGGCGGGGGACATTGAAAAAGCACATATCCCCCAACCCGAAATTCGGGTCTTCGGGTTGGGTTTGGGTGGTCTGGCAGGTAGGCGCAACGAACAGGCCGCCTCTGGGAGACGACGGCAAGGACGTCGCGTCATCTTCACCGGCGTCGTCGTCGACGATGGCGGCGATGGCGGCGCCGACGAACACGACGGCGGCAGCGGTGTCGAGGTCGTCGCCGACGACGACGGCGGCACGCGACGGATTCGTCGACGGCGGCGACGGACACGGCTGCAACGGCGACGGCGAGGGCGGTGATGATTGGCGACGACGACGCCGACGCCAGCCTGTGAAGTTGTTCGCCTTTTTGAGGGCCCCCTCGGAAAGGCCGCGGGCGGGCCCGCCTCGAAGCCCGGACGTTTCGCGTATATCCCCACCGGCCTACCCATGATGGGCTTGTTTTCCACCACCATCACCGCAAGTTGGATGGGTGAAGGAGGTGGAGGAAGAGGAGGAGGAGGAGGAGGAGGAGGAGGAGGAGGAGGAGGAAGAGGAGGAGGAGGAGGAGGAGGAGGACCGCCTCCGCCTCCTGTTCTGGTGGTGGCGGTGGAAAAATCGAGCCCAACGATGCAGACACGATGCCGGGCGAGCTGCCCTGGCCCTGATCGGGGAGGGGCACGAGCGAGCAGCGGAACGAGGAGGCGAGGCAGCCGTCGAGCCGAAGCTCGGGATCGGCCTGAGCAGACCCGGGAGTCCGCCGCGGATGCCCTGTCGGCTCTCTCGATCTGGGAGCCGCTTTGCTCACCAGCCTCGAGTTTTTCCCTACCCCTGGGGCTGGCACGCCAAAATGCGATTACAATCTTAGGCTAGGAATGCGCCCTCAGAAACGAAGGGAATCCCTAAGATCGGCATCGTGATGAGGCGATGCCCAGCATAGGAATAGGGACATGTTCCAGGCTGGTAATTTGCAGCCGACTTGGGCCATAAGGGAGTCCTTTAGGCTGCCTTGGGGGCTATGTGGGGGGCCCTCTTGGGTCCCTGTCGGGGTCCTCCTTGGGAGCCCTCGTGGGGCCGTCTTGGAGGACATCGATCGAAGAAGGGGGAATCCCCTAACAGCGCTGCCTCTCCAGATTCGCGTACGACTGTAGCCCTCGAGTGATCTTGGGCCATCATGGACCCTTTGACGCCTCGTGGGGCGGCGCATCCAAGCCCGGGGGGGAGGGGGAGGGGGAAGCACCTTCCCGCAGGGGAGCAAAGGGACTGCAGGAGACAGCGCGCTTGACCACCTCCGCCCGGAAGGCTGGTGGGATTCTGGTCAGGACGCCCCCTGGACAGGCCCGTGGGTCGCTTTTCGAAGGGCGACGACGGCAACGATGGCGACGACGGCGACGTCGACGTCGGGGTCGACGTGGGCGCCTTCGTTTCGCAGTTTTGTGGGCGTCTCTAAAGGTTTATGTCACCACGGCTTGACGCGGCTGGGAAGACTGCCGTGATGGACCCTGGCCGGTCTTGGGCGGATGTTGGTGCGACAGCGGCGGCGTCGGCGGCAACGACGACAGCGGCGACGACGGCGACGGAAACGACGACGGCACCGACGATCCTAATGTTTTAAGTCTTTCTGGAAGCTCCCGTCGCCACGGTTCGACTAGGCTTGAAGATTGGCAGACATGGTCAGGAGGAAGAGTTAGGGGGCCGATGACGACGGTCTCGACGTCGCCGCCGTCGTCGTCGAGGATCGAGGTTCTCGGATGTTTCTCATGCGTTCCAACGTCGTTGCTCCTCTTGGGTGTCCGGGTGTTTTTTGCCCATCCTGGAATTTTCGGGAGCCTCCAGAAGCTTGTTGAGTCTGATGAGGTTGAGGTGTGGGGGGGTCCGACCTTGCCCCCCTTTGGGGGATCCAGCGGCGCGCCCTCAGCGAATCGGGGGTAGGGAGCAGGGAGTTGTGTGTAGTGAGTATTGAGTAGTGAGTAGTGAAAAGCGAGTAAGGATTACGGAGGAGTGAGTAACGAGTGGTCAGTAGTAAGTAGTGATTGAATAATGATCAACGGGTATTGAGTAGTGATTGATGGGTAGTGAGTAGGGGTAGTTGGGTAGTGAGTAGTGAATCGTGGGTAGTGAGTAGTGGATAGTGTTTAGTGGGTAGTACGTAGTGAGTAGTGAGGTTCGTAGTGAGTAGTTCGTAGTGAGTAGTGAATCGTGCAGATTAAGTTTCGTAGTGAGCACTGATCAGTGGTGGGGCAGTGTGCAGTGAGTATTGAGTACTGAGTGGTGAGTAGCGTGTAGCTCGTAGTGCGCCGTGAGTAGTGACTAGTAAGTCGTGCGTAGTTAATTGTGGGTCGTGTTACTGAGTTGTGTTATTGAGTAGTTAGTACTGGGCACAAGGCCGGGAATAGGGAAAAGTGAGATGTGAGTCGCGGGCAGTGAGTAGTGGGTAGTGATTCGAGAATACTCAGCAATGCGTTGGGGGTAGTGAGTAGTGAGTGGCGATTAGGGAATAAGGTAGTGATGCGTGAGGTGAGTAGTGAGTAATGCGTAGTGAGTACTCACTAGTGAGCAGTGCGTAATGGGTAGTGAATTGGGAGTAGTGAGAGGTGAGTAGTAGGGAGGAGTGAGGTGGGAGTAGGAGAGTGAATAGTGAGTCGGGTGTAGTGAGTAGCGAGAAATGGGTACTGATTGGTGGGTAGCGAATAGTGAGTAGCGAGTAGTGAGTAGTGAGACGAGATGAGTGAGAAGTGAGTAGTACTGGGTAGTGTGTACTGGGTAGTGGGTAGTGAGTACTGAGTACTCAGTAATGTAAAGTGCGTACAGAGCGCTGAGCTGTTTGTAGTGAGTAGTGGGTAGTGAGTAGTGAGTAGTTGGTAGTGGATAGTGAGTAATGAGTAGTGTGTAGTACGTACGGAATCTTGAGTTGTAAGAAGTGGTTTGCGAATAGTGAATAGTGAACTGCGAGTAATGAGAAGTGAGTTGCGCGTTGTGAGTAGAGGGCAGTGAGCAGTGAGTAGGGAGTAGCGAATATTGAGTAGTGACTAGTGAGTTGCCAGAAGCGAGAAGTGAATGGTGACTAGAGAACAGCGAGAACCGCGTAGGGAGTAGGGAGTAGAGAGTAGTGCGTAGTGGGTAGTGAGTAGTGCGTAGTGGGTAGTGAGTAGTGGGTAGCGAGTCGTGAGTGGTGAGTAGTGAGTAGTGTGTAGTGACCGGCTTAGGATTACGGTTCGGGGTGAGGGCAGGGCGTCAGGATCAGGGTCAGGGCTACGGGTGGTAGGGGTCGGTTCTGGTGGAGCCAGTGGGCGGCGCTGCGAAACGGGAGGAGGGGGGGGTCAGAATTTTGAGCCCAAAGGGAGGGAGGGGAGGAGGCGGTCCGGACACCCGAGGGGGGGGTTCTTCAACGACGGACGGGGAAAAAAGGGAGGGGTGTTCCCGACGACGGACCGGGGAAAGGTGCGAGGGGGGGTCCGAACCCCTCCCCTCCTAAGTGGGGTCCAGCGGCGCGCCCTCCTGCACTAACCACCGAGCGCGCTCCACGACTCGCAAAGTGCCGAATCGCAAATGTCCGAAGAAACACGTCCGCCTCGATGTGATATAGCGTAAATTCCCCACGGCGGATCCAGGGCATTTGCGAGTAGTGCCTTTGCGAGAAGTGGAACGCGCTTGCCTAATTAGATAGACGTTCTGAGGTCACGCTCTGCTCACACAGTGCTCTCGCCCTCGAAGAGGACCCAGGGGGGATTTTCGCAGGCTTCTACGCTGAAGGACTTCTGCTTTGCATGTCGCGCCGCCAGTTCTGGCCCGCCACGACTTTGCGCGACACGCTGACCACATCACAGTTTCCGAGCGTCAGCGTGCCGCCCACCCTCCCGCGAGGCAGAGCGACAAGCTTCCCGCTCCCAAGGCATGGTGCGTCGCCAGGGCTGCCGCCGCGACACGCTAAGCAGAAGTTCCTGACCGTAGGCTGGAAGATCGAGTGCTCTGGACGTCTTGCGCCATGCTCGGAAATTGCAACCGTCGGTCTTCCTTTTTCCCTGGCGGGCCCAGTTTGGAGTTTGATTTTTTGCAGACGCTGTGGTGCATACAGCACGGAACGGCTCAGTCGTAAGTTGGAGCAGGTCTGTATCGGTCGGACTTGCTCTGCTACTGCGAAGTGCAGGCTCGGTCGGATGATGCGGGGTCTGCACCCGCGATCTGACCGAGCACCAGGTGTGGTGCTCCATATCTTAAGTGATGTGGACCGACAGCGGCTGCTCCTGACTCAGCAGCTGCCCCGTCGTGCTGTCTTCCTCTCCCACCCTCGGGGGGACGCCCCTGATGTGGGACTGCTCCGAGGGCTGGAGGCCATTCGTGCGAGAGTGGCCGCGAGGGAGCAGGCGAACTCTGGTGGTTGAACGATTAATGTTCTACCCCTTGCGGGCAAAAAGAGAAATGAGAAGAACATGGAGGTGAAATGAGGCGAAGACCGGTCCCTCTGGCCGACGGTTTCACCGTCAGCGTCGTCATCCTCGTCGTCATCGCGGTCGTTCTCCTGGCCGTCCTGCTCCTCGCTCTCCTCTTCATCTTTCTCCTCTGCGTTGTCGTCATCCTTCTCGCCTTTCTCCTCCTCTTCGCCGTCGTCCACCACCTCCTCGCCCTCGCCCTCCTCTTCGCCCCAATCCCCGACCCTGTCCTCATCCTGGCCTGGTTCCTCCTCCTTGCCCTCCTCCCCCGCCCACCCTGGGGGACAGCAAATAACATGTGCCACGCGCAGGCGGGGCCTGGCATTCCGAACGCCAGGCCGCGCAGGGTGCTGGGCGAGATGCAGTGCAATTCGCAGCTGAGCCCTGGCGGTGCGAAGGCCAAGCCGCCCCTTCCCAGGCGCGGAGGCCCACCAAGACTCGGCCGGATCGGCTGCCACTCGAGTCGTCTTCCCACACCTCCCTCGTTACCCTTCCCTCCTCCTCAGATCATCCACTCAACGACGTTGAGCAACCTCCCTCCTCCTTACTTCAGAGGTGGGCGAGTCGAGACAATTTCAGATGGACTTCGGTGGCGGGGGCCCTTGTCGCGACAGCTGGACGCAGCTCGGAAAACTGGTGCGTTTGGACCACGGTGGGGGAGGGCCGATTTTGAGCGACCATTGTCTCAATCGAGTTTGTGGGGGGGTCCACCCCAAAGCCCCTGGCATTCCCTGAGCCCCGTCCATATTCGACAATGAAGGGGGGCGTAGAGTGAAGTAGCTAAGACGCCCTTTTGCGCCCTAGCAATCAACGACGTGTGCGACGACGACGACGACCAGGACAGCGAGGACGACGACCAACTCCCCACTTGGGGGGCTTCTTTTAATAAGTACCAGCTCTGGGGAGGAGCATTCAGCAGCGCACTCTGTGTAAGCATGGCGCCGACATTGCCGTCATGCGAGCTATCGCGCCTGCGGGCAATTCACCATCTTGAGCGAACAGCCAGGAAGTCTCGGTAGAGAGCGCCGTTCCTGAGGTTTGGTGGCTTGCAGAGCGTCTCGGAGTAATTTGCGCGGCCATATCGAGCGGACGCCGTTGTCGTCGCAGGTGGTCTTTCACAGAATCGAGTGTATTGCGAGGACGTCTCGGGCGAGAACGACATTCCTGAGTGTGATAATGAATACTGGTGGCCAGGGCGTCTGCGAGTAAATAACGAGGAAGCATCAGAGCGGGAGCCGTTACCGTCGTGTCTGGGCTCTTACAATTTTTGAGTGGGCGCCTTCGAGCGGGAGCGTCGCTTTCAGGAACAGTGTAGCCCGCGTCTGGGCGAGGGCGCCTGGAACCGTCCCCATAGCTCAACAATATAATGCCTATCCTTTCACAAACGATGATCCAGCGACGACGCACAACGACGATTACGGCGACCACGACGCTGTGACTACCGCGACGACAACGACGACACTGACGATGACAACGACGTCAACGATGACAACGACGTCGACGTTGACACTGACGACGATGTGGACGACGACGAGCCGTGATCCACGAGCGAGGTTGAAGTCTAATGCCCTGCTGGCCCGCCTGCTTCTATGTATCTCCCGCCCGACCTGCCTTTGGTGGCCACCCACCCGACCTTCCCGTTGCGGTCCAGCCCGCCCGAACCGCCCGTTGGGGCCCCGCCCGCTCAAGTGGTTGAAAATCCGCCCGTTTCGAGGTCTCGCACGCTTAGCCCGCCCAGGAGGATCAGGACCTCGCGACGCGCTCGTCGGGGTCCCGCCCGCTCGAATGGATGAACGCCCGCGTCGTCGTCGTCGCGTTGTAGTCGTCGAAGTCGTCGTCGTGCGCCGTGTTCGTCGTCGTCCGACGTCCGTAATAGTCGTGATGGTCATCGTTGTGATTATCGTCGTCGTGGCTCGTCGTCGATCGTCGTGGTCGTAGCGCGTTGTGCTCGTTGTCGTCCGCGTCGTCGTGGTCGTCGTGTTTGCTGTCTCTGTCGTCGTTCTCTTGTTCGTCGTCGGTTGCCGGCGTGTGAAGGCGGGGGTGTGGGGGCACCCTCCCCCGTCTCTCGAGGCCGGGGCGGTATAGTGAGCGGACTGCCGCCGGAAGGGGGGGACAGGGGGGACCAGTTCTGGCCGGACGAGCGGGGGATCTCTGTGGGGGAGGGCTTCCCGTTCTGTGGTCCGGCTGGTGTGGTTTGGGGGGGCTTCTGCGACGCGCCGCGCCACGCGTGAACGACGATCTCTCACGGACGTTCGTTCCACAGGCGGTGGGTACGTACCGTGGCCCCGGCAGTTGCGGGTAAGGGTTAGGGGTCCCGTCCCAGAGATTCCTCGGGTTCCCCGGGTTCCCCAGGTTCCTCGCGCTCGCTGCTTCCGATTGTTACATTGCCCGTTCCTCGGAGGTTCCCCAGGTTCCTTGAGTTTTCCGGGCTCCTCGGATTCTCAGGTTCCTCAGGTTCCTCAGGTTCCGCGGGGTCCTCGAGTTCCTCCGGTTCCTCGGGTTCCTCGGGTTCCTCGGGTTCCTCGGGTTCCTCGGGTTCCTCGGGTTCCTCTGGTTCCCTGGGTTCCTCGGGTTCCCCGGGTTCCCGAGGTTCCTCGGGTTCCTCGAGATCTCCGGGTTCCCCGGTTTCCTCTGGTTCCCTGGGTTCCCCAAGCAATGCCAAGCAATGTCAAGCAATGCGTAGAAATGCCAAGCAATGCCCCAAACAATGCCCAAGTAATGCCCCAAACAATGCCCCAAGCGATGCCAAGCAATGTCAAGCACTGCGCCCATACAATAGGAAGCGTTCCCCTAATTGGGGTCGCGCTGGGTTCATTACTCGTATGCGTTGCGTCGGAAAAAAAGCGGGTGGCTCGAAGGTGGGTCGCAGGTTGGGTGGATGTGGTTGGGTCGCGTCGCGGGTGGATCGCGGGTGGGTCGCAGATGGGTCGCGGGGTGGGTCGTAAGGCGGGTGGGACGCGACGTGGGTGGGTCGCGGGTGGGTCACGACAACAAGAGCGACAAGAACAGTAACACAATAATGACAATCCGCAGCGCGGAACTCCACTACAGCCACTCACCCAGGGACCATGTAACTGTAAGACCGCTATGCCCCTCACTCTGATAAATTCCTGCCTCGATCGCGGCGTGATGCCCACCCAAGTTGGCAACACCTCGAGGTGGATATACGAGGATCAAGGAGGAGGCGGAGGAGGAGAAGGAGGAGGATGGATGCCAGAGCTTGCAAGGAGAGGAGATCAAGGAGTGTACGAGTTCCTCCCAGGTCCTCCTCGTCCTCCCTCTCCAGCCTCCCCCTCCTTCTCGGGGGCGTCGACTGACCACTTCGCCGATCCTAGCTGGACCCGCAGCGGTTTCTGCGCCCTCCTGGCGTGGTTGATGGAAGGAGCAGGCTAGGTTCGGAAGGGCTCGCTGTTCCTCCGGCCCTTCCAGGGTTGATTTTCCAGCGGCTCTTTGAGCGCCTCGTGCACCCAGGCGCTAGTCCGGTGTCCGGGGACTATGTTTGGAGTATTTTTTTGACTATGTTTGAATCTCTTTTGACTATGTTTTATTTTATCGTCCACAGTCCCCCTGTAGGGGGACACGCCCGACAAACAGTCGGGGCGCTGAAGAAGGAACCCTTTTCATTGGGGAGGGGCTCCGTGTTCCTTGATTGCTTCGCAGCTTGCCTTCGGTTTCCCTAAGGCTCTCGATCTGCAATCGACGTTTAACTCATGGAAGATAGGGTCCTCGCTCCTGATTTAAGGTTCCTTAGGGCAACGCCCCGACTGTAAGGCTATTGCCGGGTCGGACGAAAGGGGGGGGATCTGCAGGGGGGGTGCGGAATCTTCTGCACGCCGTTGGCTTCGGCCCCATCGCTGGGCGCTCTCCTCGAGAGGCGCCGGGAGGCGCTGGGGAGACCGGCCGCGGGAGCTGCCCCGCCAGCCCCCCCTTTTCGGGTGTTGCCAGAAGTACCCCTGGCCCAAGGTGCCCCCAGCTTCTCGCTCCATCCTGGAGACCCTCGGGGCCCTCTGGGCCTCGCGAGGGGTGCTCTGGAGGCCGCCTGGGCCGCCCCGAGAAGCCTGGGGGCACCCTGGCCCAGGGGCACTTCTAGCAGCACCCGACCTTGGGCATCCCCCCCGCGTTCGCCCGATCCGATCTCCTGCTTGGCCTCGACTGGCGCCTCCTCGGCGGCGCCTCGGCGAAGGACAAGCCCCGTGGCGGTCGTCGTCGAGGATCGAGATGTCGACGATCAAGGGTCGAGGATCGAGGATCGAGGATCGAGGATCGAGGATCGAGGATCGAGGAGAATCGAGGATCGAGGATCGAGGATCGAGGTCGTCGTCGAGGATCGAGGACCGAGGATCGAGGAGAATCGAGGAGGACCGATGCGATCGTCACCTGGCGCTCCTTCTGGCAGCAGCCTGCCTCCTCGCTCCTCCTCGCTCCTCCTCCTCCTCCTCCTCGCTCCTCCTCGCTCCTCCTCGCTCCTCCTCCTCCTCCCC